CCACCTGATGCGAAGAGCTGACTCATTGGAGAAGACCCTGATGCTGGGAGGGATTGGGGGCAGGAGGAGAAGGGGACGACAGAGGATGAGATGGCTGGATGGCATCACCGACTCGATGGGCATGCGTTTGAGTAAACTCCGGGAGTTGGTGATGGACAGGGGGGCCTGGCGTGCTACGATTCATGGGGTCGCAAAGAGTTGGACACGACTGAGCCACTGAACTGCACTGAACAGATACTAAGGCAGTTGGCAACACTGGTGATCTCATGCTGCTGAGTGGTTCTTATACATGGAATACACAGACATTTTTGAGATATAACCAGAGAACCAGATGCCACCATAAATCCATAGGTCAATGACAGAATACCCAGATACAAGTATCACTTACAGAAGCCAGGTAAAATTATGGTCAAGAGGCAGAGTGCCCATGTGTCTTTAATCATTCACTGTTTGTTATTTAATAATTGTATGTATGCAATTTTAATAAATGAATTGTGCAGTTTCAAACAGCATATTACATTTTTATTATTATGGACCATTGTTTAATATCTGGGCTTAAGTTGGGATGGGAAAGTGTTACTATGTTAAACAGAACATTTAAAAACATGGAGTTCATGGAGGAGTGGTAGCTAGGAGGGAAAAGGCAAACTATAAAAGGGTCTATGGCGGTGAAAATACTGGAACCCAATGGGTACTTGGCAGAAATCTTTAGTTCCTTCCCCCACGCGATACCAATTAACACATAGTTGAAGGCTCACAACAGAAATGTCAATCGACATAATAACAGTGTGGCACCAGTGGTCAAGTGATAGCATAGCAGCCACATTATGAGCAGACGCTCAATAAATACTGTTTGATGTATTGTCTACCAGACACAATTTTGGTCATTTGAAATCTGGAGCTCAAGGACCATATACATTTCAGTGTTAAATTACTCCTGAGTGGGGATGATTTACAGGAATGGCTTTCTGATGTCAGCCAGGTCTCACCAGCCGGTGAACAGTTCAGAGATTTTCTTTTTACCTTCCCCAATCCTTTCTCCAAATACTGTCCCCATCTAGACAGTCTCATGGAGTCAACTGCTTCAAAAATGGGCATGATTCCCCAAATTCTGGATGAGGTTTGTTAAGCAGCAACAGATAATGTAAAAAGACTAATAAATATAGTTGACCCTTCCCTTTTAAAAAAAAACATTTTCAGAAAACCTAAGGTCAGAATTGGAAGTGACCATTCTGTGGTCACTTAGACCATTCTATGACTTTTTGTTTCAGTGGTTTATGAGGTTAACTGGAAAGTCATCAAACATTACGTCTCATTCCAATTCTGGAGTTCATTTGATTTTAACTGAAAAAAATTTTATCCATTTTACAGGAAAAGAAATGCCACAAAGCTTAATTTAAATATTATTCTAATGCAACTCAACACTGAATTACAAATTTAATGGTTGAAGGTTAAATAACCTCCAGAATTTTTTCCTGGGAAACCGACAGCATTTGCAAAAATAAGCATAGGATTTTCTTCCTTGAAAGTTCTCAGAAAAGCAAAAGATAACAACTCTGTGATCAAATTATCCCCACAGCCTTAATTAAAGTCAGATACTAAGGGAGAGTTCGAGTTCCTTCGTTTTATTTACTAATCCACAAAGAGAAGCATCAGGAAAACGTTCTTCAATTCTTATTTGCATACTTCCTAATAGGGCTCATTTATTTTTATTTATGTGTTTACATATGTTTATAACACCTTCACCACAATAAACAAATATATCTCTGCCTAAACACAGCAATAAGCCTATTTCCACAGAGAATACTGAAAATATGGCTGTTTTCCCCTATTCATCTACATGTAAGAATTCTGGCAAGCATTTCCTGTTGAAACACCCCAACATTTTTATTATAAAGTTCTCCCAAGGTGTCTCCAGTGAAGCTGGAGAAAATATATGCATGTGTATAGGTTCAACTATAACAGCAAATCCTGACTGTACTGCCTCCATTTGCAGTAGGAGTTATATTCAGGGTTGCCATAGCAGCCACCCACGCTCACACACACACAAAGGGGTGGTGGAAAAGAGAGAAAAGCAGTTAGCAGAGAACAGAATCTATTGTTAAAAAGACAGAGGTACCTTTCAATGTAATTACAAGCAGGGATCCTGATTTTTAGTCTGAACCACTGTTTAACAATAGAAGATTTCTGAGTGCTAGATTGTTATTACATTTTTCTTTTCTCTAACATAGCTACCACCTGAACCTCTGGCTTTAACTTCTATGGATGCAGAGGTTATGTAGGACCAGGAGGGAATCAGCTAACCACACACACATCAGGGCTGTGCTGGGCTAACTCGCTTCAATCGGGTCCAGCTCTGTGCGACCCTAGGGACTGTGGCCCGCCAGGCTCCTCTGTCCACGGGATTCTCCAGGCAAGAATACTGGAGTGGGTTGCCATTCCCTTCTCCAGTGATAAATAATCACCTATTACACAAATAGTAAAAATAATAAATTTTAAAATAAATAAGAACTAGTAAAGTATTAAATAAATAAAAGTAAAGCACTAGTGCCTGGCATATACTAAATGCTCAATAAATGTTTGCTAATAATAATAATTATTATTGTTAAAACATCTCCAAGTGTTTATTACAGACTAGAACAGTGCATGGGTGCGTGCTCAGTCACTCAGTGGTGTCCGACTCTTTGATAACCCATGGACTATAACCTGCAAGGCTCCTCTGCCCATGGGACTTTTGAGGCAGGAATATTGGTGTGGGTTGCCATTACTCCTCCATGGGATCTTCCCAACCCAGGGATTGAACCTGCATCTCTGGTGTCTCCTGTATTGGCAGGTGGATTCTTTACCACTGTGCCAACCTGGGAAGCCCCAAGTCTAGACTAGAAAAGTGTGACTTATAATTCAGACGTAGCTTAAATAAGTGCCTTTAAGTAAGTTGATAAAAAAAACAGATAAGAAGTTGCTAAACAAATGCCAGCAGACACACCATTTTGGCAGAATAAAAACACTAAGCGTTTCACTACACTAACACATTCACTACCATTGGCATACCCTGATCACACAACAAAATCTCTATTAGTGCTAAGATAGTCAGGTAACAGTATTTGGGGTCTGAGAGTGCTCTGGAATTTGTCTCAAGTCACCTGCTTGGCACATGTCTATACGCAAGACATGTTTACAATTAACATGTGTTAGTTGCTTAGTCATGTCCAACTCTTTGCAGCCCCATGAACTGTATAACCTGCCAGGTTCATCTCTCCATGGTATTTCCCAGGCAAGAATACTGGAGTGGGTTACCATTTCCTCCTCCAGGGCATCTTCCCAACCCAAGGATCGAACCCACGTCTCTTGCATTGCAAGCAGATTCTTTACCATCTGAACCACCAGGGAAGACCTTTACAATTAATATCCAGATACAAATACAAACATAAGATTTAGATGTGATGACAATGAATGAAAAATGTTTTACTGTTTCTGATTCACACAAGTTTTAAATCTTCATATTAAGGCTAACTGCTCTACCTTCTAGGGGAGGTGGAACAAACAGTTAAGCAATTTAGTGACTAAGAAAGAACCACACATGGATTAGAAGATTTTATATCAAGTCTAGAAGTACCTTAAAATGTGTAGCAGAAAGCAAAATTAATGGGCTAAAGAAATCAGGGGCAATTAGAGGAACATTGTTGGGAGTAGCATGAGAGTAAGAAGAGAGTTATAACTAGAAAATTTTACAGAAGAGAAAATGGATAGAATGGGATTTGGTCCTTAATGCTATAAAAATTTTCCTGATGGGATTTCTTTTAAAGTCCAAGAAGCAAATGGTAGAATTAGCTTGGCTTAAACACTTTAAAAATGTTAAAATGCACACCCTTATGACCTCCAAAATGACTCTGCCATTGTGAGTGTTACATACAATGCTATAGTTCCACTCTTATATGGTCTTTTATCTAGAAATCTTTATTTCCAATATCAAGCAGAGGTGCCACAGGAAATATTCTCTCTTTTAGAGATAAACTGACAAGCTTACATTAGGAACATTAGAAACATTTCCATAATCAAATAGCTCTTTGAGGGGAAAACTAATTCTGAGTTTTTTCAAGCAATTAGAAATTAGTCAAATTTGGCTCGACATTGACCCTGAGATCTCTGGTCATTGAGCTGAAATCAGAAGTAGTTACTGGCACCATTGACTAGGAGAACTCCAAAAGGAAAAATGTTCTGCACTTCTTACTGGACCTAAGAAAAAGTCTTCAAATAATACTTTTGGAGTGCAACTTTATAGCTTCAAGGCAGCTTCTGGTGATAGAGGGTAAGAATGATGGATACAAACGCTGGGGACAAGAACTGCCTGAAAAGGCTGCTCTACTTCCTACTCCTGCCCATCGCTGATGCACTCAGCGGTGACCACTTCCTTCCACCTAAACGTCCCAAGAGATCTGCTTTTTCGGTCTGGCTCTTACCACTAGAATGACAGCAAATACTCAAAAATAAATAAAACGTGTATAATTTATAAGGGCATTTTGGTTAGTTCTATAACAAAATATTAAAACAGTGGTCGAGATACTGAGATGATAGAGTTATCAACAAAAAAGAACTTTCTAGAAAAAGAGTGCCTCTTTCTCTACCTTCACCAGAGAACACTGGAAGTTGAGTAGGCAGCAAAGAGGCCTCGGTAGTTCTCTTAATTGCACCATTATTTTAAGTTTATAAGGACTGCATAAGACAAATTTGTTTCCATTAAGCCCTATTTAATATAAAGACCAACATATTCTCAAATGGAAATGCTAATGGCTATATTTTTTAATACAACCAACTACCCACACATAATCTCATGAGAGTCAACTGACTTAGTCACAGTACCAACAGCTATTATTAAAGATAAATTAAATGGCCTGCAGAAAACTGTTAATGTGACTTCCATTATGGCAGGGAGAAATAATTTCTACTTTGGGAGAATTACCAGGAAGACAAATTAAGAATGGCTTCTAATCCTTACTTACTGTCAGATACATAGCTGCATAGACACTGAGAGCCGCTTCTTTGGATGGAAATGTCTTCCTCGCTCTCATGATGAGATCTGGGTTGCCTGTGCAGGCTTCTTCCCCACTGATGAACTGCGTATATTGCTGACACCCAAGTGCTGTGTAGTTGGGTTTACACAGGGCAAGAAAATGGGGAGCCAGGTTTCCTGTGACAACTTGTCCAGCATTTACAAAGATATCTGTTGCAAACAGTCCAAATGTATAAATTCCTGAGGAAGAAAAACACACCATTTTAAACCCTTTGGTTTGTTGTGGTTCAGTTTACAATAAACCAACAGGGAAATATTTTAGAAACTACAGAATAGTTCATACACGTCCATACATATGATTCCTTCCATTTCACTCCCTCCAGCTTCCCCCTTTGCTTTCTGAAGTAGTGGGAGTGTTAAATTATTTAACATATTGAGTTGTCTGCCACTGGCTACATTTTTATGCATGGCAGGTTTATAAGACAAGATAAAAGAAGAAAATATATTCTAAGACTGTGTTTGGGTAATGTGATTTTTTAAATGGAGACGTGTTTCCCTTGAGAGGGCTCAGTCTATCACCTTCTACTAATGTTAGCAATCTTTCTTTTATCCCTATTTTTGAATATCTTACTAACATAATACAGAGCAGTTATCTCCCTTTAATTATACCTCTTAAGCCCATTCTAACTAATATTACTCAGCTGGAGGTGCCAATTAGCAAAACCCTAGGCCATCAGTTTTTAAAAAGCATGTAACTGCTAAGTCCCAGCTTATCTTTTATGTATTGAGTTTCAATTTCTCAAGTTTGGGACAATTTAGTAAATAATAAAGCAATTAGATTATAATTTTTAAATTATCTTCACAATATTAAAATTTACTTGCTTTGTTTACCTGAACATAAAAAATTAAGTACATAAATTTCCCCCCTTCTGTAAGGATTATGTCAATTTACTCAAAAACCAAAACTATTTTCTAAATTTTCTAAATAATTGGCCACTAATGCCAAAACTGATCTCCCTATTTAGGTAAGAAAGGCAAAACAGATTCTTTGGCATCATTGTCAAACTTACAGCTACAATCTACAAAGATGTGGTATCAATGTAAAGACATCTATTCTTTTATAATTTTTGATAATAAAATCCATCAAGGACATTTTAAAACTATACCAAAATGCTACTTCCCAAACAGCTGGTTCATTAAAAAGGCATATAATTCTATTATGATAATTAGATTTTTTTTCTTTTTCATGTATTTCTGGATTGTTTGTTTCCTAAGGCTTTACATAATTATTGACTGTTGTGTTGCAAATCAGCAGGAAAAAATATTTTTCCAGGATTAGATACATGACTATCCCTTTCATTTTCAAAGCATTATATAAGATTATAAAAGGTTCTAACACCCAAACCCGCACACAGCAAAACTTCATGTGTATATAAACCACAATGAAACAAAGACCTTAGTTCTTTATTGGAAATGTTTACAAGGAAGAGCTTTCTTTCCATCTTACCAGCATTCCATGAGTCATACAAGTAAATGTTATTAAAATCAGAAATTTGGCAGAGGCAGAGAAAAAGAAGACAATGAAGCTCAATAAAATGTTATTGTATACACCCTCACCTTTCAAATCCCATGGCCTAGCATGGGAACCTAAATGACAAGTGTTCATCTCTCTTCTCTTGAAATCTAGGCTAAGATGTACTCACTGTATTTAACCAAACCATTCTTTTTATCTGGTATAATAAGTTTTCCTGTCTTGAGAGGAATATTTGATAAGGATATGGAAGTGTCTCTTGATACTTATAAAGCTCCCAAATGTGCTTCAGAATTAAAATAGCGCATCAGGCCCAAGTCCAATATTGAAGTTGACTACAGAGATACTTATTAAAGTGAGATCCCATGAGTGTAACCTCCAGATACACTGGCGTGTGACCTCCAGAATAAAGTCACTAAAAAAGAGTAATGTCCTATTCTATAGTAATGCTTTTCTTACAAGCTTCCCTTTTATTATAGTAAACTAGAAACATCCAAATCATGATAAACAAGGAAACAAGGAACAAAGCAAGTACTTCTAAATATCTTATAAATCACATAAGTAAGAAACACGCACAGGCTTAACTGCACACTTTATGCCATCCAGGCAGAGCTTGTTTTATTGAGCTTCACTTTATTGGACTTCATGAAGAGTGCTTTTTTTTTTTTTTTTTTTTTTACAAACGGGAGCTTTGTGGCAACCCTGTGTTGAGCAAGTCTACTGACACTATTTTTCCAATAACATTTGCTCACTCTGAGTGTCTCTGTCACATTTTAGCTATTCTCCCAATATTTCAAAGTTTTTCATTATGATTTATTTGTTATTGGTGATCTATGATCAATTATCTTTAATGTTACTATGGTAGTTCTTTGGGTGCAAGACATACTGTACCCATAAAAGGCAGTAAACTTGATAAATGTGTGTGTTCTGATGGCTTTACCAACTACTCATTCCCCTATATTTCTCTCCCTCTCCTCCAGCGTCCCTACTCTCTAAGACACAACATTACTGAAGCTATGCCAATTAAAAATCCTACAACAGCCTCTAAATATACAAGTCAAAGGAAGAGTCACACATCTCATCCTTAATCAAAAGCTAGAAAGGATGAAGCTCCATGAGAAAGGCAAGTCGAAAGCTGAGATAGGCTGAAAGCTAGGTCTCTTGTGCCATTTAGCAAAGTCATGAATGCAAAGAAAAAGCTCTTTAAGGAAATTAAAAGTGCTACGCCAGTGAACATACAAACGATAAGAAAGTGGAACAGCCTTATTGCTGATTTGAAGCAAGTTGTAGTAGTCTGGATGGTTCCAATCAACCACAGTACTCCCTTAAAACAAAGCCTAACCCACAGCAAGGTCCTAACCCTCTGCAATTCCACAGAAGTTGAAAGAGGTGAGTAAGCTGTAGAAGAAAAGCTTGAATTGAAGCTAGCAGAGGATGATTCACGAGGTTTAAGGAAAGAAGTCATCTCCATGGAAGGAAAGTACAATGTGAAGCATCAAGTGCTCATACATAAGCTGCAGCGTTATTCAGATGACCTAGCTAAGATCATTAATGAAGGTATCTACTTTAAATGACAGATTTTCAATGTAGATAAAACAGCCTTCTATTGGAAGAAGATGCCACCAAGCACTTTCAGATCTAGAAAGAAGAAAATGCCTGGCTTTAAAGCTTCAAAAGGCAGGTTGACTCTCTTCTTTGGAGTTAATGCAGCTGGTGAATTTAAGGTGAAACCAATGCTCACTTACTATTCTGAAAAGCCTAGGGCCCTAAAGAGTTAGGCTAAATATACTTGGCCTGTGCTCTGTAAATGGAACTACAAAATCTGGATAACAGATTATCTGTTTATAACATGGTTTACTAAATATTTTAGGCCCATTGTTAAAATCCACTGCTTAGAAAAAATATTCAAGTTTATTACTGCTCACTGACAATGCACCTGGTCACCCAAGAGCTCTGACGGAGATGTACAATGAGATTAATATTGTTTTCATGCCTGCCAACACAACATTCATTCTGCAGGTCACGGATCAAGGAAGACTTTTGATTTTCAAATCTTACTGTTGCAGGGAAGAGCCAATTCTGATTCCATGTTGGATCTGTTTTTCTTATTTTAATCTTCACTTTTCATTGCTTTTTTACTATATCACACATAATGGTCTGTCTCCAGGGACCCTGTCCCTCTGCCTCTGTTAGAGACAGTCTGACCCAGCCCACCTTTGAATGGCTGCACAGAAGAAGAAATTAACATATACCCTATTTTGCAAGATAAATACCTTTTTACTTTACCTCCTCACCTACTTTCCCTCTCTGTTCTATAAAAGAAGCTGGCACGCAGACTCCAATAAGATGGTCACTTTAAGATATTAGTCTGCCATCTTCTTGATCGGCCAGCTTTCCAAATAAAGTCATATTCCTTGCCTCAACACTTGGTTTCTTGATTAATTGGCCTATTGTACAGCGAGCAGAGTGAGCTTGGACTCAGTAACATTATTATTTAAGAAGTACATTTCATAAATTTGTAGCTGCCATAGATAGGGATTCCTCTGATGGTTCTGGACAAAGGGAATTTAAAATCTTCTGGAAAGGACTCACTATTCTGGATATCATTAAGAACATTCATGATTCATAGGCAGAGGTTAAAATATTAGCATAAACAGGAGTTTGAAAGAAATTGACTCCAACCCTCATGGATGATTTTGAGGGGTTCAAGAACTAAGTGAAGGAAGAAACTGCAGATGTGGTGGAAATAACAAAACAATTAGAAGTGGAGCCTGAAGATTTGACTGAATCACTGCAATCTCATGATAAAACTTGAATGGGTGAGGATTTGCTTCTCACAGATGAGCAAAGAAAGTGGTTTCTTGATATTGGAATCTACTCCTAGTGAAGATGCTGTGAAGATTGTTGAGATGACAACAAAGGATTTGAAATACTACATAAAGCACCAGCAGGGCTTGCGAGAACTGACTGTAACGTCAAAAGAAGTTCTACCATGGGTAAAATGCTATCAAACAGCATTGCATGATACAAAGAAATCATTAGAGAAAGGAAGAGTCAATCACTATGGCTAACTTCGTTATTATCCTATTTTAAGAAATTGCCACAGCCACCCCAACCTTCAGATTCTACCAATAGGATTGGTTGAGGCAAGACTCTCCACCAGCAAAAAGATTACAACTCATTAAATGTTCCAATGATGATTAGCATTTTTTAGCCATTTTTATTTTTAAAAGTATTTTTAATGAAAGTATGTATTTTTTCAGGCATAATGTTATTGCATACTTAACAGACTAAATATAGTATAAATATAACTTCTATATGCACTGGGAAACCAAAAAAGTCATGTGACTCACTTGATTGTGATATTCACTTTACTGTAGTGGTCTAGAACTGAGTTCAAATATCTTGCGAGGTATGCCTGCATATTCTTTAGAAATATGGGTGTAAATGAATAAAAAAATTTTACTTAAGTAGGCATAATATAATTTAACAGAATTTAGGAAGGTTCAGTTTCATCAAAAACACTTCAATTCTGAGTATATTATTGCTTATTTTGTTATTAAATGATTCTCATACAAAGATTAAATGGGTCAAGAATACAATTTTGTTGGTACTACAAAAAAAATAAAAAAGCAACAATTGAGAAGTAGTTCATGGAGTGCTACTTATTATAATTAACCAATACAGCATTTCTTTTATTTGTCCAGCTATTCTTTTTGTCTTTTGTAATATTCAGTAATCAACCTAGATCATCATTTCTACCTAAGCATTGTTTCTGAAATTTAACAAACACTAAACCATTTCTTTTATTTACATAATTTTTAGTTTCTTTTAGAATATTAAATATCCAAGTGTGGTGGGATTTTTTTTTTTTCCTTAAAATAATGTGGAAATGACACCATGAAGTGGAGTTTTGCAGAACAGGAGAGAAAATAATAGGAAGTGTTTATTTTAAAACCAAATTGACACATTTCAAAGAAAATATAACCTAACATTTGCAAACATTTTAAAGGTTAGCTTATACATAAACATTATTTCAGAAATAATAAAAACAATTCAATGAGCACATACCAAGAAATCGTACAGTTCTCCTCACCAGTGGGTTTATATAGCAACAGTCTCCAGTTAAAATAGTTTTCTCCTGGTTTTCAAAATCCCTTGTAGCCAGTTGTAGGCAAAACACAGCAGTTTCTCCAACTATTATCTTGCAAGGAAATAAAAGATTAAAGAATATTAGAATTTAACCAGTATAAATGCAGAATATCTCTACTTTTAAAAAAATGAATAAAAAGGAGTTATTTTGAGTGGTAACAATCTCAATATAAAGCTGAGCCATATTTGGTTGACCAAACCTTTTTATTATAACCTCCCCCCATATATATAAAACTCATATTTCTCTCAATTCAAAAATGTATGAAATTAATATGGTATGGGATGGGGGGTGGGGTGGGATGGATGTCCAAAAGGGAGAGAATATATGTATACATATAACTGATTCACTTCTTTGTACGACAGAAACTAGCACAATATTATAAAGCAACTATACCCCAATTAAAAAACATCACCCAGCAAGGTACTGGAGCAAGTGTCATGTGTCATAATAATATTGATGAGGAAATGGGAGCCTGAAGAGGTTAAACAATTTGCTCCCCATAAGGCCAATCACAAGCCAGACAGAAATTTCTGACTCAGTCCTCGATCTTTTGACTCCATTTAATACCATGAACAACCACACTAGAAATAAGATTAGGAGAAAAGAAACCAGAGCCAAATAGCATGTCTCCTAATTTGTCATTGTTTAGGTCACTTTTTAGGTCATCTTACCAAGGTTAAATATAGGACTATATGGGGACTCCCTGACGCCCACTAGAGAAGTGATTTTGGGGTCTTTGTGAAAAGCAGTATCTGTGATTACAAGAAATTCAAAATTCCAAGTGGGAGGTAGACAAGGAGATCACAGGAGATCAAGTGTTTGACTTAATTTTATCCCAACATGTATCCCAATATCTGTATGCAACAGATCATGAAGTATCTCTGAATTTTTATTCTTCCTTCTGTCTCCTTTTCTTCTCCTATACTTCTTCTTACAAATATGTGAGGGTTCAAGGTTTAACCAGAAGATGTTGAGCTGAATGAATTTAAAGGAATCTAGTCTTGTCTGTCTGGTGAGGCACAAGTGAACTAGGAAAGGCTAGAGTCAAAAGCTTTCCAAATCCTGAAGTTTTTAACTTTGGCAAGGTAGAGCAGGTTTGTGATAAAACAGTTCATTCAGCCTAAACAGGCACAAGAGGTATTTTTTACAGGTTCGTCAGCTGCCACCAGGGCCCTAGCAGACACTGACAAATAGACAAGCTGAGTGTCTGACACCTTCTTATCTCCTGTTCTGAATCACTCTTTCATGGCTTACCTTCCTCTCTGCTTCTCCTTGAAAGTTCTCCTTTCTGAGTTTTCAGCCTCAACTTTTTCCAAGTCTGTTTTGTCCAGAATGTTTCAAATTCTAACATTCTATCATCCACTCCAGATAGTCAGCTGACTGGTGCCCTGATTCTGCCCTCTGAGCCTCCTCTTCTCCAGGGCAGGTATCACGGTGTCTCCACCGACAGGCTGGCTCCATCCCTCAGTACACTGAGCCCCGAGCTCAGTCCATTAACACACTACAGGCCCTAAACTGTAGCAGACACCCAAGAATTCTGAGAGTATGAATTAATTCATCCTCAATAGATCAGAGGTCTTCGTCTGCCTCTGACTTTGATTCCCAATAACCAACATTTTCTGCCTTCTTCCTGCAGTGAAGGTTCTACCTTATACCCTAGTTCCTGTAACCAGGTTCTGTGTGCTTCGTTTCTGACTTGCTTACCCATTTATAGTTACCAGACTAAAAGCTGCCTTGTTCAAGCTACTCTTCCGAGTTTTCCTAATGATAACCTCTTGCTTGTCTGGATCTCTGCACATTGCGCTTTTCTGAGTTTTCTGTTTAGTCTTGAGCATAGCTGACAAACACTGTCAAGGTCGATTTGGCTACCACTAAAAGTGTGTGTGGGGGTGAGCTGTTCAGTAGTGTCTGACTCTTTGTGACTCTGTGGACAGTATATCCCACCAGGCTCCTTTGTCCGTGAGATTTCCCAGGCAAGAATACTGGAGTGGTTGCCACGCCCTTCTTCAGGGGATCTTCCTAAACCAGGGATTGAACCCAGGTCTCCTGCATTGCAGGCAAGCTCTTTACCACCTGAACCACTAAAAGAATTCCACTCAAACTGGATTAAGAAGAAAAGGGAATTTAATCTAAGGTTGGTGGGTTATCTCAGAACCTAGTGTTGTAAGGCACAGGATTAGGTCCAGGGTTGGAAATGTCTCAGGAGTCCAGGCAACCATCCTCTCAGTCTCATTCTTGTCTGGAGTCACGCTCTCACCTCAATTCTCTGAACGTCTGACTCATTCTCGTCTTTCTGCAATCTGCATCTCCTGCTTCCTAGTGTACATGAGTGTCCCAGCAGGCTCCAAGAACTCTGTGTTGAACATGTCAGCTCAGTTCAAGGAAAATTCAACTAATTAGATTTACTGAACCCAGAGTCAAAATTCCTGGGAGGTTCAGCTTGAGACAGGTGTCTCTTCTGGTCCAATTAATCAAGGTTAAGAAGGTGTGATATGGTGTATGAAAACTGCCTTGTGGGTAGATAGGTTAGTTTTCAAAGAGTTGCAGTGATGTTTACTTCAAATTCCCATCCATTACATCTTTCTGGACCTCCTTCCTGCTAGCTCTTGTCTAGACTAGCAATTTCCATCATGTTCTCTGGATCCTGTGTTTTGTTTGTATACCTGGACTTCACCTAATCAAATGCATGCGCCTAGGCCCTAGCATCTGCTTTTCTTTAGGGGGTATGTTTGCTTCCCATGCTCCAATTCTCCCTCCCTCACTGCGATATCTATGGGACTCCTCAACAAAATCATTTTCTTCACTTCCCCCATCTCAACTTCCTAAGTCAAAACTCCCACTGCTGCAACTCTCAGATAAATTCAAGTCATGAAAATAACACAATTCTTATTATTATGAATACCTAGGTGCCTCTGAGTTAAGGACCCTGCACTGATCTTTAAAGAAAGGTTTATAATCCAGTTGGGTGGACACATAATGAAACTATGGTGGAAGGCTGTACATGCTGTTTTGACTGGTGTGGACAAGAAGTGCCAGCAGAACATTTAGGAAGTGTCACTGAGTCACTGAAGGCATCTATGGTGGCCATGAAATGTGTGCCGCTAGGATCTCTGTTCTGGGAGGTTTTGGGTCTGATGGTCCCAGGTGTCACTCATTTGGATTAATTACTGAGTCACAGGCTTCCCAGATGGTTCAGTGGGTAAAGAATCAGCCTGCAATGCAGGAGGCTTGCAGGAAATGCAGGAGGCTTGCAGGAAATGCAGGTTTGATCCCTGGGGCAGGAAGATCCCTGGAGGAGGGCCATGACAGTATTCTTGTCTGGAGAAGCTAATGGACAAAGGAGCCTGGCAGAGTCCAGTCCATAGGGTTGCAGAGAGTTGGACACAATGGAAGTGACAGAGCATGCGTGTGACTGAGTCACTGCCTGCGGGCTCTCCTAGCAATGGCTAGCACAGTGGGGGAATTCAGGTGGGTCTATTCCTCTGGGATATGGCATAAAGATGCCCCACAATTCTGGTCAAAGTTTTCTTGGAACTACGCTGTACTCTGAGGTGCCTCCTACTCCATCCTTCTTCCTTCCCTCTCTCCTTCACATGAGTCAGATCTTCCTCATAATCTGAATGCTCTTCTTGCCTTCTCGGGCTTACCACCCTCCAACTTTTATCTTTTACAAATGTTTCCCTTGATAAATCTCTTATATATTTAGTCACATTTGGTACCTGCTTCTAGGAGAACTGGTGGCTCAGATGGTAAAGAGTCTGCCTGCAATGCATGAGACTCAGGTTCAGCCCCTGGATCAAGAAGATCCCCTGGAGTAGGAAACAAACCCACTCCAGTATTTTTGCCTGGAGAATTCCATGGACAGAAAAGCCTGGTGGGCTATAGTCAATGGGGTCACAAAGAATCAGACACAACTAGCAACTAACACTTTCACTTTTTTCCCCTAGGAGAAGCTAAATTAACATAACATAAAAGAAAGATAGGAGGTGATCCTTACTACACTTCAAGGAAGAATAAGTATTAGACAAATGGAGAGAATTTTGATGCAAGCCCTACAGAGATGGCAGTATTAGAACAGGAAAGGAGATAGCATTTCTCCCGGTAGCTCTCAACTTGACCTGAACGTAGGCTAAGGTGGATTGAGTTTGCCTTGGAGGTAGAGGCTCTGGTCAGTGAATTGCAGACCTAAATTCTATGTTCCTTGATTTTTATTTTGATTCTTTTTCTCTTGGCCTGTCAGAAGCCCACTCTAGGGGACTTCATTTCTCCTAAGGCTTTACCAACCCCTGCTACTAAGTATTTCTCTCTCCCTTGGGCTCCAGATGCAAACCGCCACTTATTACATAGTAAAACCACTTATTACATAGAAAAATCTCTGCATGCTCACATTGGCATGCTGAAGCGCTCCAAGCCTTGCCATCTGAAACGAAATTCCTGTCTCCCACCCTAAACCTCCTGTCACCTTGGACACACAGGCTGAAATTCTCATCTTTACCCCGACACTAAAACCTTCATTTCCTTCCTTTGCCTCTATCAACTGTTAAATTCTATCAGCTTCCCTGGTGGCTTAGTCCAGTAAAGAATCCACCTGCAATGGAGGAGACTGCCTGCAATGCAGGAGAGTCCTTTCTTCCTCATCATTTCTTTCCTGCATTAAAGCACCATCAGAACTCACCTCTGTGCTTTCATTTTCCCTGCTCAAATTGTGTGCAAGCCAGGTCCTCGATTTACAATTTCCACTGTGTTTTCATAGGCAATGGAATAACAGGAGCTGTTGTAACAGACTATTTACAGATTAACCTAAACCCATCTTTTTCAGCTTCTCTTACAAACCTCCAGACACGCTATGTTCTAGTCACAGCTAAACATTTTCATTCTCAAACATACCAGGCATTCCCATATATTCTGGCTTTTACACTTGGGCAATGGTAGGCAGTTCTGTTCTTAAGACATGATTTACATATTGCCTACTCTGCTGCAGCTCTATTCCTGGGACAAGCCATCCCTCCCTTTCTGCATTCCAATAGCACTTTGTACATTTATTATGGTAC